GCAAAAGGATTAAGGCAATAAGAAGTTATTGTGATGATGAATGTGATTTTACAATTATGTTCGAAACATGGAATTATTCATCATATAACTGTTACTTGTTCTCCTTAATCAATGGCATTAGTGAACGGAAAAATACAACATTGAAAGAGATAATGAATGCTATGATGATAAGTTCATGATTACTGCAGAACTTGTGGGAGAAATTTTGCTTTTCGTCAATTATATTTTCAACAAATTGCCTCAGAAAAAACTTATACAATGCCTTATAAATTATAAAACTATGATAAACCTATCTATAAATAATTAAAGGCACGATATGTTTGGAAATGGCAATAATTATACACATGTGGCCTTCTTTGGTGGGGGTAGAGCTGGTTGCGCGTGCTCCGACATTCAAGTCAGTTCGAGAAAAAATATATGAGTTTGGGAGGTCTTTTAATGTGAGCCTCTGATGCTAAAGTGGGGTTGATATTGGGAGTAAAATGAAGGATATGGAGAGCAAAGTTATAGTATTCAAGTCTAAACTTGCAATACCTTTCAATGGCATTCACAATAAGCTTTTATAATGTAGAAGAGTGAGTGTGAATTGCGGTATGAGAGGACACGTGGCCTCATCCAAGTGATTATAACTTTCCATCAAGGGTATCAATTAATCTTGCGACAATAATGTTGATGCCAATCTGCCTTCCATAAGTCGTAGCTTGTGGTAGTAGACTTGTGGCGGCGGTGGCAGAGATTTGTCACATCAATCATTTCAATAAATCTAATTTTAAAAAAAAAATCTTCTGCTAGGTTCTTCCTTTAGCTTCGTCTCCTGCCCATCGAGGCAAGCATGAGTTTAGCTACAACATAGGTTTGACTATTTGCCTATCGAGGCAAGTAGGAATTCAGCTACAACATAGGTTCAGCTACTGGTTTGTATACGTGGGTCCCATCCACATGATTTCGACTGCCACGTGGATCACACTTGTCGGAAGAGGTATAACAATAGTCCTCGAAGTCTAGGTATGATTATTCATATAATGTGCGGACTTGAAAAGTTAGGAGAGAAAAAGAACATGGTATAACACATAGTCCCTGAAGTCTAGGTATGAATATTCATATAATGCATGGACTTTGAAAAGTTAGGAGAGAAAAAGAACGTTGTATAACATATAGTCGTGTATATTTAGGATTTCAAAGAAAATAGACGATGCTTTGAAGAGGCGAGCTTATTGGAATTGAATCGAAGCCGTTACGAGGTCTCAAAGAAAAGAGGCAATGCTTTGAAGAGGCAAGTCAATTGGAATTGAATATAAGCCATGGTGAGGCTTCATAGAGAAGAGGCAATGCCTTGAAGAGGCGAGCCTATTGAATTGAATCGAAGCCCTGGTGAGGCTTCAGAATCAAACCGTAGTGAGGCTTCAAAGATAAGAGGCTAGCCTATTGGAATTAAATCAAAGCTGTGATGAGGCTTCAAAGAGAAGCTTGGTACACATGTCATTATGATTTAACAGCGGTGATGGTTCCCAAAATATAGCATGATTGTGGCTTTGGAGGCACCTACGTTTCGTGTTGTGTGAGTATTAATTGCGCAATGATGATGCTGGTACAGCTGGGCGGATTGACTCGAACTTAAGGCGCGTATGAATCATGGGCTCATCAAGACCATTGATTCAAAACCTAGTTGCGCGCGCCTTTTCATTTTAACATTGCAGATGTTGGGACAAATGTACAATTATGATTAATTTAAGGATTGATCTGACGATAGAGTCGTCTGTTCGCATATAAAAGGGTTGGGCAACACACTTGTTCCTTTTTCCACTTTGCGAAAATTGGAGTTTATAGACCGTGCCTTTAATTCGTGCAAGTTTTCTGCGATTTTTGGCTAACTTTACCAACTTCTGGTAAGTAACTGACTTCCCTAGATTCCAGTGCACCTGCAGCTTGTGTAAGTAAAAAACCAGCCTTTTCTTTTCAAGACAAATATACCCATGGCCTCCTCTTCTAAGAAAAATGTCCCTAGGAGGTTCCCAAGAAAACTGACATAGCACTCATATATGCCGAAGCCAGTTTGCCTTAGTCCATTCCAACTGAGAGGATTATGGCGACGATGGATGGTACCCAAAGTACATAGATGATGCAGGAGGGCACCATAGACATTCATGTGAGGTAAGAGGCTTCATTATGACCCTTCTATGTGAAGGAAAGTGAATTAGATACTTGCAGGAAGAGGTATAGGCCCTGATACAATAGAAATGTTCATGCCGACCCTTGATGAGAGAGCTTGTTACCCTGGGGAGGGGTGTGTTGCAGTGAGCGAGGCCATATTGAGTGAGAGGATGAAGCTGCCTTTACACCCTTTGTTTAGATATTTGCTTAGGCATTAACTTAGCCTCGATCCAGTTAGTACAAAATGCATGGAGCTAAATGGCGAGGGCCTATCTTCTTTGGAAAGAGGTCACCCTCGGCGAGGATATGATCTGGTTCGATTATAAAGAAAACGAAGAAGGAAATCGAACCAGAATTCTTAGATATTTAGTAAGTAGAATCATCGTGTTCAAATTTAATTATGAAATCAAACTAGTTCGATTTTGATTGGCAATGACCCCATCCCATTCCCGTGCCCGCTTACCTTGTTAGGAAGGTAATGCTTGCCTCATTTGAGACGAGGCCATGGTATTGGGTTAACGGATTTTTCTTGCCATCCCTACCGGTGCTCATTTTATGTTAAGTACCAATGATGTGTCATATCAATTTATTGATGGGTAGCAATTTAAATTCAAATGATGAAACTCACTATACAATCATCCACCAATTAATTGATATGACAAATCATCAGTGTTTAATATAAGATCAGCACAGATATCAACCAATGAATTAATATGATATGTCATTGGTGCTTAGTATACAACAAGTATCGGTGCTTATTAGATCATTCCTCTATACACATACGCACACACGAATCGAAAGTCAAAAGGAAAAGAAATTTTAAAATTTTATTTCATAAGTTTGTTATTTTTGAAACTACACCTTAAAATATTTATACCTATGATTTCCCTTTTTCTAATAGAATACATATTTTGTTTCGATTAAAAAAGTAAAAAAGAATTTAACTAGTTAAAAACTTTTTCCAGCCCTTTTATTTTTCCATTTCTTTGCATAAATAGTCAAAGGATGGGAAAAATTCATAACTAAGAGATTAAGTATGATCCATTACAAAATTAAGAAACAAGATTTCAAATTTCAAAAATCAGATATTAATTAATTTTTATTTATGAAATAATTAATTGAAGATATATTTTATTGATTCAATGTATTAAGGTCACAATTATATATTATTTGGTCACAAATTATTGAATTAACTAGTGACAAATTATTTCTTAATTACCGATCAAAAATTTTAAAGGTCACAAATTATTTTACAGTCACAAATTTTAAACTTTATAAGTCACAATTTATTCATCGGTCACAAATCAAAAAAAATTATAGGTTACAATTTATCTGTCGTTCACAAGTCACAAATTTTATAAGTCACGATTCAAATTTTTACGTCATATATTATTTATTGATGATAAAATATGCAACTTATTGGTCATAATCTCAAATAATTGGTCACATATTATTTATTGATAACAAATTAACCAATTTATTGATCACAATGACTAAATATTTGGTCATAGTCCCTCTTTATACACACCCAACCCAACCCAACATTCCCCATCACCACCACTAGAACCATCATCTTTCCACTACTGAGACCACCACCGCCTGTACTAAGAATCAATACCACCATCTCCAACACACCACCACCACCAACTGAAAAATCCCCAAACCTACCATCACCGTTGCCACTACGATGACCACCATCGCCATCACCATGTCCACCAATCCACAATCACAACCATAGCCACCGCTGCCACCATCTTTCCATCACCACTACAACCATCACCTAAACCAAAAATCTCAACTACCATATTCTCTATCTTCATTTCCACCACACTGCAACAACCACCCATACTAAAAGAAAAATCCCCCAAACTGTCGTCTCCACTACGATATCCACCACCAGCAAACACCATCCACGAAAATCAATTCCAAATCATTGCACAACCACCGCAGCCACGACGACTTCGACAATTACAACCACCATAAAACATAATTGAGTATAACTGAAAGAATAAAGAGGGTCGCTTCGAGCGGTGCTGTGTGCGAGGCGCCAAGCGACAAGCACAGCTACTGCAACAGTGTTGCACATAGTGACACTGACATTGCCCGTTGCACCCGACGCTACTGCTATGGCTTCTGACGATGCTGTTGCCGTGTGTCATGAATGAGGCGTTGTGCGACGAGCACAGCATTGCACACAATAGCTAGAGCAACGCCGCACACGATGATGCTATCGTTGCCTTGTGCGTGATGTTGTTGATGTGGCTTTCCTACTGCTGTGTATCATCACTTGCTACGCGTCGACGATGGGCCTCTCGACGGCGGTCGAAGAGAGACGTCGGAGGGGATGGATAAAGAGAATATAAATGAAAAATGTTTTATGGTTAGGGTTAGGGTTAGGGTTAGGGTTTGGGTGCGTGGGTGGGTGGGGTTGGGTGGAGTGGTAATCTAGATTAAATTATTTTTATAAAATTATTATTATTATTTAAAAATTATATTATTATCTGATATTTGTATAAATAAACCTTAATTCTGACTTTAGAAATGTAATTTTTCAAAAATGGGCTGCCATGTAATTTCCACTTAAAAAGTGATCTCTCTCTTTCTCTCTCTCTCTCTCACACACACACACTAGAAACCAACAATGCAACTTAAAGAGCCTGAAAGGGCGTACGCATATAACTTTGCCAGATCTCAAACGGTGTGAAAATTGTCTTCATAGCAGCTCTATACAATGTTTTTGTTGGCATCATATTATCTTTTCCATTGAAACAAAATGCATTTTTTTTTTAATTATTTATAATTACCGTACTCAAGCATTTTTTTGCAAAAACTATACACAGAGCAAGTACTGTTCCATTGGCCATACAAATTTGAATTGATTTCTCTGTTAAATTGGATTTTCTTCGACAATTTACTCTAAAAATGGAGAAAAAGAAAGTGTCTTCGGAAAGCTGCTGAGGAAAATTCTCGAATTTTTTTTCCAGAATTGATTAGCTCGTTGCATGTCATTTCAGAGAAAATTATTCATGCAAAATTTAATCCTTTCGATCCTCGGAGTTTGAATTCTTCTTGAAAAGAAAAACATCTGGGTTTTGGTGCATGCTCTTATTCAAGATGGCGAATCAAGGGGCTAGCGGCGATTTTGCCAGATTTCTGGCACCAGAAGACAAGGAAACTACCAACATCGCTGGCACGGCCTCAGCCGCCGCATCTCCTCATGTTCCCCACTACCAAATGCAACAACAAGAACAACCGAATTATCTATTATGTGGGCTGCAGCCACGGCCTCCACCACCGCCGCCGATGTTTTCCGAGTACAGCCAGTCTGGAGAGAGGTCAGCGATGGTGACGGCGTTGACGCATGTCATATCTGGGCGGAGATACGGTGGAGATTCTGGGAATATTTATTCGTCTAATTTGCCTTCATTTTCTGGCCATAAGAGAAGACGTGATGCAGAAGATATTGTTCCAGAACAGTTTCACAGTGTTCATCGAGGCTTCGGAGAATCATCTTCTTCTATCAAATCTGGTTTGTAAATTAATCTATAATTTAAACACTGATTTTATTTCTGATTCATGTATTATTGTTGCATGTATATCTTGTATTTTTGCAGAGCCAGATGCAAGAACTACTATAACAAGACCTACAGCCACCGCCACCTACAACACCTCCGCTTCCGCCACTTTCACGGCTGAGCAAATTTCACAAACTAAAGTCTCTGGTGGTTCCCATGAAGAAACAGGAGAGACAAGAAGAAGGTACAGAGGAGTTAGACAGAGGCCATGGGGAAAGTGGGCTGCAGAAATAAGGGATCCACACAAAGCCGCCAGAGTCTGGTTAGGAACATTTGAGACGGCGGAGGCCGCCGCCAGAGCGTATGATGAAGCCGCCCTGAGATTCAGAGGCAACAGAGCAAAACTCAATTTCCCTGAAAATGTGATAAACTTGCCGCCTCCCCATTTCTCACAATCCACACAGGCCGCCAATTCTATCACCCCATCACCACCTATCACCGTCCCACCTCCGCCACTGACGGCGGCAGTTCCTTCAACATTCGTGCAATCACAGCTTTCCCAAATCCCTGATAACACTTTCATGGATTATTGGCAATACTCACAGCTACTTCAAAGCAGAGGTGATTTCCCCATGAATTTGTTGGATCAGATGTTTTATGCCTCTTCTGCATCATCTTCCGGTGGACAATCAGTAACTTTCCGCCCCCAAGGAAATCAATCGACCGGATATAACACAAGTTTTCCTGCACCAACATGGGCCAGTTCTAGCCAATATCCTCCTCCCTCCTCTTCTTGAATTTCTTTTTAATAAAAAATATATACAAAAATTAATGTCCATTTTCATGCCTTCGTACTCGCCTTTAGGTAATTTAGTAATTTAGGTACTTGGCTCTAGTTTTGTATCCATAGATATTATGTTACTGGTCAATAAGTTGTCTTTTCGTGATAATATTTTGTTTCTATTTTATCATGTTCAATCTCTTGATTATATTGCTATGGATTATCAACAAATAGGGTGCCTTTTTTTTTTTTTTTTTTTTTTTTTTTTTTTTTGG